TGTACTATTGGCACACTAATGCTCTCNTAACCAGAGTTATGAAAAATGCATTAAATTTTTTAATGCATAGCATTTTAATGTAAATGGAAAAAAATAATGCATTAGTTTTTGATATTTAATGTAAATGAAAATTTCAATGCATTAATTCCAAAGAAATAATGCTAACTGATTTTTTTTTTGTATTACCATTAAAATTTTTAAATGAACGCTATTGCAATAATTTATTGCATTAAAATTATAACAAGCATTAAAAACCCATTAACTAATTTTATTTTGAAGTAGAATTTTAAGGTCAAAAAAGATAGTGACGGACGTTAAGGCTGGTTTTCACTATGTCAAGTTCAATGGCATTTGTCGTTAAATAGGTAAAAACACATTGTCAAATGGAACTAAAAAATGGTTTATTGATTCATTTAGATCAGAGTAGGTCCTCAGTCGTGTACATGCGCTGCCAAATTGGCCATCTGTCCGTTTTATATGTAATAGGTATGCATCAACAATCAACATAAAAATCTACAAAAGCACTCTGAGTTGCATGCACATTGGCTTTGATTTTCATAAAACATCTAACAATGTTTAGAAGAATGTTTCTACAAATACCCATTATATAATGAAGCTGTAAAAACTATTAGTAATTATTCCCAGTCCTTCCAAAAGAGGTTATTTATATTTCACTAGAAAAAAATTTAATGGTTTGTAATAATGCAAACGAGCAAAGGTATTAAACATTTTAGTGCATTAAATTTTTTTCTTTAGCATAAGCTTGGATAATTTAATGAAAAAAAATCATTAGCATTACATTTTTCAGAATTAATGCATTGAAATTTTCACTTGCATTATATTTCAAAAATTAATGCATTAATTTTTTACATTAACATTATNGTTTCTACAAATACCCATTATATAATGAAGCTGTAAAAACTATTAGTAATTATTCCAAGTCCTTCCAAAAGAGGTTATTTATATTTCACTAGAAAAAAATTTAATGGTTTGTAATAATGCAAACGAGCAAAGGTATTAAACATTTTAGTGCATTAAATTTTTTTCTTTAGCATNTAAAAAAAAATTTAATGGTTTTTAATAATGCAAACGAGCAAAGGTATTAAACATTTCAGTGCATTAAATTTTTTTTCATTAGCATTAGCTTGGATAATTTAATGAAAAAACAATCATTAGCATTACATTTTTCAGAATTAATGCATTGAAATTTTCACTTGCATTATATTTCAAATTTAATGCATTAATTTTTTACATTAACATTATTGCTTTAAATACCTTTAATACATTAAAAAATTAATGCATTTTTCACAACTCTGCTCATAACTAAATATATGTATTACATAAAAGAAAAAATGCAACAATCTACCAACCCAGTTTAATCTCGATAATCAGCTATGCAAATTGAAGCGTTTGTGCCACCAAATCCAAACGAATTTTTCAATGCAATCCTTCGCGATTTCGTATCTTGATGCCACTTCTCTGATTTGTTCTGTACTATTGGCACACTAATGCTCTCATCCAAGTGTTCAATATTAATAGATGGCGGAAGTTGGTTTTCTGCACATGCTTGAACAACGAAAACTGCTTCTAAATTGCCCGATGAGCCCAGCAAATGTCCGTGGGCACCTTTTGTGGACGACACTCGCACCTGCGATGCATGCTCGCCAAAAACTCGTTGTATAGCATGAGCTTCAATGCGATCACCTGTTGGTGTGGATGTCGCATGTGCGTTTACATAAGTAATGTCTGTTGGTTGCACACCTGCATCAATTATTGCACGTTGCATTGCTAATGTGGCACCAGTACCATCCTCACTGGGCGAAGTAATATGGTGGGCATCACCGGAGACCCCATAACCTAGTAATTCAGCCAGTATGGGTGCACCACGTTTGCGAGCATGTTCCAGCTCTTCAAGGACCAGTATAGCTGCACCTTCACCCATCACAAAACCATCTCGTTTTTTATCGAAAGGGCGCGAAGAGCTCAATGGTGTACCNATTGCACACCTGCATCAATTATTGCACGTTGCATTGCTAATGTGGCACCAGTACCATCCTCACTGGGCGAAGTAATATGGTGCGCATCACCGGAGACCCCATAACCTAGTAATTCAGCCAGTATGGGTGCACCACGTTTGCGAGCATGTTCCAGCTCTTCAAGGACCAGTATAGCTGCACCTTCACCCATCACAAAACCATCTCGTTTTTTATCGAAAGGGCGCGAAGAGCTCAATGGTGNCATGCAACAATCTGCCAACCCAGTTTAATCTCGATAATCAGCTATGCAAATTGAAGCGTTTGTGCCACCAAATCCAAACGAATTTTTCAATGCAATCCTTCGCGCTTTCGTATCTTGATGCCACTTCTCTGATTTGTTCTGTACTATTGGCACACTAATGCTCTCATCCAAGTGTTCAATATTAATAGATGGCGGAAGTTGGTTTTCTGCACATGCTTGAACAACGAAAACTGCTTCTAAATTGCCCGATGAGCCCAGCAAATGTCCGTGGGCACCTTTTGTGGACGACACTCGCACCTGCGATGCATGCTCGCCAAAAACTCGTTGTATAGCATGAGCTTCAATGCGATCACCTGTTGGTGTGGATGTCGCATGTGCGTTTACATAAGTAATGTCTGTTGATTGCACACCTGCATCAATTATTGCACGTTGCATTGCTAATGTGGCACCAGTACCATCCTCACTGGGCGAAGTAATATGGTGCGCATCACCGGAGACCCCATAACCTAGTAATTCAGCCAGTATGGGTGCACCACGTTTGCGAGCATGTTCCAGCTCTTCAAGGACCAGTATAGCTGCACCTTCACCCATCACAAAACCATCTCGTTTTTTATCGAAAGGGCGCGAAGAGCTCAATGGTGTACCGTTATGTGTTGTACTAAGCGCGCGCAATCTACAAAATCCTGCAATGGATAGTGGATCAATGCAGGATTCGCCGCTTCCGGCTAGCATTGCATCTGCGTCGCCATTTCGAATGAATCGCAATGCATCCCCAATGGCATGTGCTCCAGTCGCGCAAGCCGTTGACACAGAATGATTTGGACCACGTAAGCCATGTCGCATGCTTATATGGCCGCATGCCATATTAGGTAACAGACGGGGTACAAAGTAGGGACTTACACGGTTGTAACCGCGTTGCAACTGTTGCCAAGCGCCATACACTTCGGTTAGGTCGAACATGCCCATGCCCACGCATACACCAAATCGTTCTTGTTGTTCCGTTATGAATTCGCTCGTCCTTAATTTGGCATTGGATAGCGCCTCTTCTGCTGCAATCATTGCTAACTGTGTTGCCCCGCTCATTATTTTCAGATCACTTTTGCTAAAATGCTTTTCAATTGGTAGTTGGTCGCGATTAATCTGAGCTGCCACTTGGCATGGCAGTCCCTTGAATTTGTCACTTAAGCTTGAAATAGCTGATTCGCCAGCTAGGATGCGGGACCAGGATAAAGGTACATTATTCGCCAAAGGAGAAACTGCTCCAGTTCCAGTAACAACAACACGGCGCCTAGGTGTACCACTGTTGGCGCGGGAGAAATAACGAAGATCCTTACCCAATTGTGTATGGAATATCCTCCTAGCAACGTACGTCATCCTTCCTTTGGCTACACGCTTCTTGGCTTGTGATTCCTAATCCAGAAATCGATATCTCTCAATAGCCGGTAAAACCCAGGAACGGTGCTATCAAACTATCAAGTACTATCAAACAGCTGTTTGCTGGGCAGAGATTCCCAAACAAAAGGTGATAAGGTTAAAAATTAGCTTTGTTTGTTAACAGATAATTATCACAAATTTTTACTGGATTTTGCTGGAAAACGTTTCCTAACACAAAAAATTTGCAGAAGAGAGCCAAAAAGAGAGTATGAAAAGCGAGAGAGCTGCAAATTTCTGCTGGCGAAATTTCTGCCAACATAAATTTGCAGTCATATGTTTAAAAACCAGCTGTTCAAAACGCACAAGGAAATAGTTGGCAAATTTATTTTACTTCGTTTTAATAAAACAAAATGAGTGCACACAAACACATTGAAAGATTGCAGAATGTAAGTATTTGTGCATGCATTTGAAAATGTGTGTGTGTGTGTGTGTATAGAGGGATTGCAAGTTTCTGCTAGTTTTTGTTTCTTTACTTTTTCCTCTTTCGATCTCCTTGTGCGTAAAATTCTACTCTTCACCAATCTGCTATTAGGTTCGTTCGCGTAGCTGTTAATTGTTCATGTTTAACCAAAACTTACAAGTTTTTGCGTTCGCGTACGCAAAAAACTTGCAAAGTAGGGGAAATTGAGAGAGCAAAGTGACATTTCATTTTGAGGGGAAGCTGCTGGTTTCTGNTGTTGTTCCGTTGTGAATTCGCTCGTCCTTAATTTGGCATTGGATAGCGCCTCTTCTGCTGCAATCATTGCTAACTGTGTTGCCCCGCTCATTATTTTCAGATCACTTTTGCTAAAATGCTTTTCAATTGGTAGTTGGTCGCGATTAATCTGAGCTGCCACTTGGCATGGCAGTCCCTTGAATTTGTCACTTAAGCTTGAAATAGCTGATTCGCCAGCTAGGATGCGGGACCAGGATAAAGGTACATTATTCGCCAAAGGAGAAACTGCTCCAGTTCCAGTAACAACAACACGGCGCCTAGGTGTACCACTGTTGGCGCGGCAGAAATAACGAAGATCCTTACCCAATTGTGTATGGAATATCCTCCTAGCAACGTACGTCATCCTTCCTTTGGCTACACGCTTCTTGGCTTGTGATTCCTAATCCAGAAATCGATATCTCTCAATAGCCGGTAAAACCCAGGAACGGTGCTATCAAACTATCAAGTACTATCAAACAGCTGTTTGCTGGGCAGAGATTCCCAAACAAAAGGTGATAAGGTTAAAAATTAGCTTTGTTTGTTAACAGATAATTATCACGATTTTTTACTGGATTTTGCTGGAAAACGTTTCCTAAGGCTTTCTGCTCATTGGTCGTCCAATCATAGTTGAGTCATGGTTATCGTCATGAAGCAACGATTACATGACGATTACACTTCTGCANTCTTGTGAGTTAACAATTAATAGTGTTTTGGGAAATTACTTTTATGCGTTTACTTAAATTTTAATCAGGGTACCCGAAATCGGAGAAGACACCCACTTATCTGATGGTATATTGCAGCCAGATGGGCTGCCAGCATTTAATGATATTACAATTGAGAACTGTTTGGGCGCTATTGGGCAACAAGCAGGTTTGGTTGAGAAAACTGTGAAAACCATCGAAAACAAAATAATAGATCAAAATACGCCTGCACGTAGTTTAAAAAGCATATTCGAAGAACTGGATAAAGTGGCAGGACCTTTAGACACGACATGGGGCATTGCCAAAGCTCTTTACTTGGGCAATAGTACACTGATACCGACTAAATCATACATGAATATCCATGAGCGCGCTCGAATTGCACGAGCTTCTAAATATAATAGTAAAGTATTGCACGATGGACTCGTCCAACGATCGGAACAAGCCGAAGGTGACGAAGCGCGGTTGTTGCAGCGCTTCTTACTAGAGGGTAAATTAAATGGTCTTACTCAGACGCAGGATAAACGCGAGAGTCTCAAAGACATTCTCGTGCGGTTGGGTAGAGAACGTGCCAGCTTTAAAAACAAAGTAAACATGTCTGTGCACACTTTTGGCCATGCTATAAAGGACTTTAATCTTGTTCGCGACTTTCCTTTGACGCTTTTGGAAGCAATAGCAAAGGATTCCACTTCACCAACACAGGGTCCATGGAAGATTACTTTGCAACCTCAGATCGTCGAAGGATTCCTTAAATACTGCCCAGACCGGACGCAACGCTGGAATGTTTGGCAAGCCAATGTACGCAAAGCGTCTGGACAACAAGAGCGTAGTCTAGAGAATAGTACACATTTGGAGATTATCCGATCCTTCCGAAAGCGGCAAGCCAATTTGCTAGGTTTGTAATAAATTGTGTATAAAAAGGCTCTTTCTCTCTTTAAGTTCTTTCATTGCGATTTTTTTGAAACGTTTCTTTTTATTGAAGCCCANCATCCGATCCTTCCGAAAGCGGCAAGCCAATTTGCTAGGTTTGTAATAAATTGTGTATAAAAAGGCTCTTTCTCTCTTCAAGTTCTTTCATTGCGATTTTTTTGAAACGTTTCTTTTTATTGAAGCCCACGACTATTAAATCGGTAAAAGCCTTTTTAATCCACAAGGGGTTTAAAAATAAATTTTAAATAAATGAGTTGGGCCTTTCAATATTAAGGTAACGATATATAATAAATAATCGAGGGCTTAAATTCAATAACCTCTATCTGCAATTTTCACAAAAACTACTTGTGATATTAGAACCCATCTGATTCTTACCTGTCATCGCTGCTGTTAATTCTGACTGCAATTTAATAGTAAATTCTTCTGTCAAGCGTTATACAAGGTCAGCATNTAATATATCGAGGGCTTAAATTCAATAACCTCTATCTGCAATTTTCACAAAAACTACTTGTGATATTAGAACCCATCTGGTTCTTACCTGTCATCACTGATGTTAATTCTGACTGCAAATTAGTAGTAAATTCTTCTGTCAAGCGTTATACAAGGTCAGCATTAATATCACCGATGACAATGAAGTCTTAGAAGAATTTTTATATCAGAATCTCATTTTTGTGAAAAGTGAAGATTGATGGTATTGAATATAAGCGCTCGATACGTGCATATGTATATCCATAAATGTTCCTACTGCTCCTTTTGATTCATTTTGGAGTTCATAGATAATTTTTTTTTACAGGCTATCCCAACTACGCAGCCATGTCTATGCAGACAAAGATGGTTAAAAGCGTCGATAACCTGAAACAGATCTTTGCGAATTTGTTAAAATTTGCAGGACCAGCACAATCGACTGAAATTGAACAATTGCAAAACTTCGCCGTTGATAGTGGATTCCAACATAAATTAGATTTGTATGACGTCGCCTATTGGCAGAGGAAGCATTTGCTTGCAAATCATCAGTTAAATGAGGACAAGCTGCGCGAATATTTTCCTTTACCACATGTTTTTGCTGGACTTATAAAACTCAGCGAGAATATGCTAAATATTCGCATAGTAGAAAGACAAAATGTAGAGGTTTGGCAACCGGCTGTAAAATACTATGATGTTTTCGATAATGATGCAGGCGGCGATGTTGCACCAGTCGGTGGTTTCTACATTGATTGCTATTCGAAGGAGAATAAATTTGGTAAGAACAACGGATGGATGGTTAGTATACGCAATCGCAATCCCTCTGCGCAACTGACGCCATTGTGTGCGTTAATCTTCAACTTTACTGAACCATCCCAAGGCAAACCGTACCTACTGAGTTTCGATGACTTAAACATGGTTTTTAAAACCTTTGGTTCAGCTTTGCAACACTTACTTACCAAAGCGCCATACACTGACTTGGCAGGGCTTTCTAACATCGAATGGGATGCATCACAAGTGGCGGGTAATGTGATGAGTAACTTTCTTGATAACACTGCAATTTTACAACAACTCTCCAAGCATTATTCAAGCGATGAGGTTTTATCTGCCGATACATTGGGAAAAATTAAATTATTAAAGACAAGTTTGGCAGGTTACAACTTGTGCCGAGAACTATACTTGGCGGATCTAGACATTGAACTGCATCAATCTGATGCATTTTGGCTTGATGTGGTTAAAAAGCTGTGGCCTGTCTATCATTGTATGCCGTTGGACAAAAAGGACGCACATCCTTGTTCCATGACAGAGATTTTCTCCGGTGATTGGGCTGCAGCACAATTTAGTCATCTCTACTCGAAAGTGATAGCTGCAGACATTAGTGCTCAATTTGCAGAGAAAGGTGAAACTGAATTGTCAACGACGGGAAAGCGTTTTAAGGAAACATTCTTAGCGTTGGGTGGTTCCGTGCCCACAGCCGAGGTATTTCGTCGTTTTCGTGGACGAGATCCCTCAGTGGAAGCGCTGCTCAAGTCGCTAAATATATTTAATAAGACACAAACAACAGGCGAATTATAGAAGACACTAAATGCAGTTTGATAAATGTCATTCTTTCATTTTGTTTTGTACTTTTGTTGAATTGGCAATGCCAAAACCAAAAAATTTTTTTTATTTATAATTATTTACCTACATATATATGGACATACATACATACACGTGTATGTATGTATATCGACGCTAGTTTATACATACATATATAACGGAATGAATTATAAAATAGGCGAAAATTCATACCGCCACTATTGCTGTATGAAAACACCTGGGTATTTGCTTTGTCGTCACACAAACCATCTGCTGCACTTAACTACTTATTGTATATTATCATACAAATAACACCAACAAAGCGTAATAGTACGTAGGAATGAGTGAATACATTGTGATGTTGAAATAATAAAAAAAAAGAAATTTAACGGAATCACTGTTTTTTTTTTTTGTAATTTAAAGTTACTTCCTAATTCTTTATAAGAAGAATTAATTGGCCAGCAAAATCACTATGTTTCATTAAATAAAAAAATACGATGTGCCTTTTTAGGACAGTCGGGGGTCGACGGAATTGGAACTGCGCAGATATATGTAGTATATTTGACGAACGACTGTAACTTCAGCAGCATTTTCGAAAGCTGGCCAAGGACTGTCACTCCAGCAACACTCCCCAAAAGTCTTTGGGGAGTTTGTATGCTGTTACAACAACAAAGCTCTTTAATTTTCTTTCATAAGTTCACAACAAGATAGTCTAAATAAGAAGGTTTACATTTGTTTTAAAGGAAATTCAAGCAAGTTTAGTCGTTGCTGTTACAAAAGCAACTATTTATTATACAGTAAACTATTTTTTCTATCGAAATTCAAATAATTAACAACCTCCTGTTATCAAGAAAAAACTTTATAGTCATTAGCTAAGGGAGCGTAGCCGCAACAGTTCTCTATACCCCGAAGTTTTGATAAAAAAATTTCATTTATAGTTTTGTCGTCACATTTATGCAATAAAGTAATAACTGTAAACACATTCGCGCATTCTTATAATAGGTTTGTTCGTCGAGCAAAAAATTTGTACGAATTTGTACGAATTATCACGATTTTTGCCCAAATCGCGTTCGTGCAGACCAAAAAATTATCCAACACTCAAAAATTGTGAGAGCAAAGTGACAGTTCTCTTGGAGAGAAGTTGCAAATTCTTGCTGGAAAAAATTTTGCCAGCAAGAATTTGCAAACACGAAAAACATGTGGTTGTGGCGCATGGTTGCATTTTTGTCTACAATAATTTGAATAAATTAGTTCGTTAAATTTAAAAATTTATAAACACGAGCGATTTTTTTATGAAAAAAGGAAGTAAATAATTGTTGATATAATTAATTTAGTTAATTCCAATGATTTGAACTTAATTCGGCTGAAAAAAATGGTATTCGCAATCGGAATGCAATTGCAACCAGAGTCGATTTAAGAAACCCGACAGCTAGTACGATGAAGAAATTGAAATGTATGTTAAAGAAAGTCAGAACAACAAGAAATATACATGTATATCCTGTTTTTGGCCATCCGAAAGAATTTTAAAAATTCTATACAAATTTTTTATATTTGAAATGCAACCGTGCACGCCAGCTGGCAGGAAAACTTGCAAATTCCTGCAAATTTGCGTTCGTGCAGAAATTTGCAAGTTTCTCAACATGAGAGAGAATTTGAGAGAATTTTTTCTTACTCTCTGATATATTGAGTGTTGGATAATTCTTGCTGGATTTTCGACGAACAAACCTAATACAAAATTGATCCTACCCTGCTGGGAAGTTTTGTGCTAGGGAAAATACATGTATAAATTATCGGTTTGAATTAATAACACGTGCTAACAAAAAGTCATGGAATACACCCAAAACAAAACCTAGTGTAGGTTGTAGCCATGGTCGAGTACAACATAAAAATAGGTTCCGTATAGTTCCTGAACCCTCCATTTTTATTTTATTTAAAAACAACCGTTATGTTCGTACGTGATGCACTTGTATATCAACTGCTTCAACTGCTTGAATATTTTTGAAATCGGACAAAACCTACTCCGCCTAAAATATAGCTAGCTGGAGAGCGTGTTTTTTGTCAATGGCGGTGCCATGCCCATTGCCTAATAGAATATATAATATTTCATGAAAAATAAATTTTTTGCTTAAGAGCAATTGTATATATCAATTTTGAGTAAATATTGATGAACTTAGCCACACTGCTCAAAAAATCTGAACGTCCGGCACATATGCACAAATAAATTCAAGGCCGTATTTTTGCTTATCTTGCTTAACTCTGACAGTTTTTACGCAAATGCATTAGATGAGGTAGCAAATTATTTAAAAATAAATGTTCTTTTAGATAAATACTACTTGTTTGGCAACTTTCATAGAAATGTTTGAAATTGGCGATGGTCTAAGTTAAAAAAAAAAATATTAAGAAAAATAGGGGCTTATTTAAATTTAATATAGCATTTTCAGTTTAAATAAAACCATTTTAAAATTAAGTGAAACCTTTTTCAAACTAAATGAAACCGTTTTCAAATTAAATGAAACATTTTTCAGATTCAAAATAACTGTGGTTTTTAAAATCGGATCAAAATTAGTCAAGCTGTTAACATATAAAAGAGCACCAAGTACGAACATAACGGTTGTTTATAAATCAAATAAAAACTGGCGGCTCAGGAACTATACGGAACCTATTTTTATGTTATACTTGATCATAGCTACAACCTACACTAGTTTTGTTTCGGGTGTATTTCATGACATTTTTTTGGAGCACCNAAAAAAATAGGGGCTTATTAAAATTTAATATAGCATTTTCAGTTTAAATGAAACCATTTTCAAATTAAGTGAAACCTTTTTCAAACTAAATGAAACCGTTTTCAAATTAAATGAAACATTTTTCAGATTCAAAATAACTGTGGTTTTTAAAATCGGATCAAAATTAGTCAAGCTGTTAACATATAAAAGAGCACCAAGTACGAACATAACGGTTGTTTATAAATTAAATAAAAACTGGCGGCTCAGGAACTATACGGAACCTATTTTTATGTTATACTTGACCATAGCTACAACCTACACTAGTTTTGTTTCGGGTGTATTTCATGACATTTTTTTGGAGCACCGATAAAAAGTTTATCGTAAACCTTCGACCGTTGATACCACAAACTCTAGTTAAGGCTTTANCAAATAAAAACTGGCGGCTCAGGAACTATACGGAACCTATTTTTATGTTATACTTGATCATAGCTACAACCTACACTAGTTTTGTTTCGGGTGTATTTCATGACATTTTTTTGGAGCACCGATAAAAAGCTTATCGTAAACCTTCGACCGTTGATACCACAAACTCTAGTTAAGGCTTTAAATCTCCAATTACTTACTCCAGCTAAGTGGAGTTGTGCACTTTTATATGGCAAGGCCAACCTTTCTATCTAAATTGGTATAAGGCGTGTCCGGAAAAACTCATTACAGCTTTAAGTTCTAAAAAGCACTTGATTTTCCGTTAGGGTGCATCCATAATCACATGTGTACACGCTTACATGCAATAAGCACTTTCTATTATACATACATGTGTATGTATGTATGTATAAATATGTGCATCGGCTTTGAACTCTCTTATCGGGTTACTAACAGTAGCGTTTTGAAATTGTTCAAATGCTCACATAAAGGCGTTGGTCATAAAAAGAAAAACTAAAAACAATAATAGGATCGCGCTAGTTATGAATCACAATAAGTTTATGAGTGGCTCGATAAAAATGTATTTTTACCAATCGCCGTTCTTTGGCGATGTCAATCGCAGAACTTGGCAACATTAGTAATGAACAGCGGATGTCGTTCTATACCTCCATATACATTGCCGCCCACTTTAATAGCGCCCCCTTTTGATCCTCAGTATTGCCAGTTTTCCTCTTGTTTATATTGCTTTTTTGAAAATACATATAGCATATTCTATAACAAAACTCATGTAAATCCAATTTTAAAACAATACAAAATTCATAAAAATTGAACAAACTTTTTTAAATTGTTTGGTTGAAGGAGTTACACATTTTCTTCTATACAAAGTATGTTCGCCTATTCTTTTTATATGCACATCGTGCACCATGTTTGTTATACATATATTGAAGCCCATTTGAATACTCAAAAAATTCGATTTTTTTTTTTCAAATGTTGGAGAATCGGATATACTTGTTTCTGTATTTTTATAAAAAGCTAATAAATTTTAAATAAACAAAAGGAAGACTAAATATTGAGAAACAAAAGGGGGCGCTATTCAAATGCCCGGTACTGGATGTACTTACATATGCATAAGTAGAAAAAATACTTGCGAAAAATTTGTAAATACTTGTGTTTGTGTGTATGTTTATTTAACCATGAATTTCTATTTTTTCCTTTAAGTAATACTACAATATTATAATAGTAATAATAATGTTTTTTAACATGTAACATCTATATTTGTTAGCTTGCATTTTGCTTTTATTTATGTACATTAAAACAAGGTAAAAGGAGACAAATTTACAATACAAACAAAGCAATATAATACGAGTGGAAAGTAGCGTAGAGTAGTGTGTAAAGTTGCAATGTTTTTTTTTTACGAAAATTACATACATACTCATTATAATAATTGCTGCCCATTTATATAAGTGTACATACATATAATAATCATATGTACATATGTATGTATAATTGGACTCGGCATTTATGACGGCATATCGTTCACTATCGTCGATATATCGCAAAATACCAGCAGCTATTCGTAGATATTTGCTAAAACTAACAAAGAGCAAGATTATTGTTTATTGTACGGAATTCTTTTATTTTCCGCTTTTGCTTTGCATACACATATGTACTACCCCTGTTTTGCTTTAGATTTTTGTGTACTCTTTTGCCAATATGTATTTCTAAGCGCATTGCTAATAATAACTCATACAAAAATGCTTAAAGTCCTTTAAGAAATTTAATAGTATTTTTTGTTTAAAATTAATATTTTTAATAATTTACTTATACAGCACAATTCTTTTCATGTAAAAGGGCATCAACTTCAATTTCTTTATGATTATTTTCATGGTGTAATTTTGCATTCTCTGCTCTTTTTTTCTGCATGTAAAAGTATTCGTGTAAGTAATTTTTCATATTTCTTTATTTGGACTTTGTATTTACTTGAAAAACTTTTATTTTGTTTTCTTTACTTTTGTTTTAATAATTAATTTTAACTTTAACTTTCGCAATTAATCATCAGCTTTTCAAATATGCGGTAATGGTTTTTGCTGTTTTGCCTTTCTTAAAAATGTTAATTGCATTTAGAATATATCAGGACACATAGACCAGTCTTGGTCACGCTTGTGCTGCCAATAGCGTTCGTTGAAAACATGCACCAAATTATCGCTTCCCTCTTCCTTTTCGCGTCTAAACCAAATCGGTTCATATGGGGGATATGGTCGCCCCTCATTCGCTGCGGCTTCAGCTTCCGCTTCGCGTTCTCGCCGCTTTCTGCGTTGTTTCTCCTCTAGACGCAATTTCTCACGATTACTCTCGTCCCATCGACCTTCTTCCATCAAACGCTGATCGGGCCGTAGACGGGAGTCGGTTGGAGCAACGCCCTCTTCTGGTTCATTCAATTGGGCTGCCAATG